GAGATAGATATAGATAGATAGATAGATAGATAGATAGATAGATAGAGAAATAGATAGATAGTACACATCGAATCAGCTGATTTGAAACAACCAACATTCCCCCAATTTCGTCGTAGCTCGTAAAAACCACAGAATGTCTCTGAGTCGTTCGGCTGGGAAACTCAATCCCTCCGTGTTTGAAAATTAAATCCCACTGAATTTCTCATAAACTTACACTGCTTAAAATGACATTATGTGGAAGGCGATAGTCCTACAGGTGGAACTGATTCCTGGGACCGAAATAGCTACTCCCTACAATCTGATTAGAGGCCAAACAATGTTACGTGGCTTCATGAACTGAGAGTAACAAAGGGAACGTGTTTGTACAACCTCAGTTCTCCTCAGACTCCCGTGAAAAATCCACACAATAGATGCATAAAATTGAAGTTTTTCTTTGTCCTTCTATGCTACGAATCCAAGCGTGTCGTACCCTGGGCCTGTACGGAGGAGCATGTAAATATGCAAACATCTCCAGCTGTTTGTTAGATACCTGTGTAAGATAAGTTTGGTTAATCAGTAAAGTGTGTCATGTTAACATGCAGTAATAGGAGAGGTCAAAAAGAGGTCAATTTAAGAGATAATAATCAAACAATTGTCCGTCAATTAGCATCATTATTGACAACATTATTACGATGGTCGTTTTGGCTCGTTGCGGTTCTATAGTGTAGCGGTTAGCATGCCTCCTTTTGAAGAAGAGAGCAGAGAGTCAGAGGGTTCAATTCCCAGAGGAACAACCTGGTTGATTGTTAATTCTTCTCTTGTAAGTCACTTTGGATAAAAGCATCTGCTAAATGTAACGCTTTGGTTTCGACTGCTGCTGCTTCGGAGCGAGAAAATGTGTGAAAAGAGTTTGTAATGTCACACTCCTGCTCCAACCTCTCCACTTAAATCATTCAGGGTGGATCTTATTCGGAGTCGAGTGTCTGTGCATCCTCTGACAAATCTGTCAAACATGGTCTTTACACAGAGGCTGCAGAAAGAAGCCGTCCTTCTTCCTCAGTCTCACACGTTCTCCTGTGAACTCAGCCCATTATTCTTTTCTAAATGCACTTTTTATTCCGCCGTGCTCTGCGTTAGCTCCCACCTGCTTGTCCTTCATTTAGTACCTCATCGTTTCCTCTTTTATTCACCTCATCTATCAATGTCATTACAGTTATTGGACTTTCGCGGAAACTTGGAACACTTGGCTTAAATCAAGGGAAAAGCTGAGGCCGTGGACGGCGCTCTCCACAAAACCATGAATTAATTCTACAACACAGAGGTGTTCGAGTTTTAACCCGTCATTATCTGGTACACACAATATTTATTCATCATAATTTAGAACATCAGGGTCAAGTCACATTTACTGTATGTGTCTATATCTTTCTTGAATTCCTCCAGCAATGTCAGTGTTGTGTTCAACTAAACAAGATTTAATTATATTTAAATAATTTGTACTTAAAAAATATTATTTGTTATAATTACAGAATAAGTCCCATTCAAAATTGGTCTCTGTACAGCATTGTTTCCCAAAGACTGGGTCTCGACCCTCAGGTGGGTCGCAAGAGATTTATTTTTGGGTATATATATATATATATATATATATATATACGAGATCCAACCCGCAGCCTGATCTTTTGCGTACTTCACACTTAGAATCACATACAGACAGAACATGTTCCTAAACCTGATGCTAGCATTACTACATACAATTAATTATACACGATTGAACAGATTGAAGGGAAAGAACTGGTGTGACCTTGTCCGTTGTATTTTGTCTACCTTCAATATTTTGTGTGAGTTGCCAAATGCCCAAGAATATTTTTGTTCTTCTGCAAGTCACTGCTCATGTAGAAGCTCAGTAAAAACTCAGGGAGCTGGGTGAAGAGTTTTACTTTATTTTCCTTTTCTTCAGAAAGTTAATTGGACTTTGTTTGACAGCCGTCTCTCCTTGTTCCACCAGTGTGATCCTTCTATTCCTGCTCTAATGAATTTTTACACCGTGTTCCCTGCAAACATGTTCCACCTGCACCGCTTTCGCCCGCTGCTGTAAATACCCTGCACTCGCAGCTGCAGACGTGTTCCTCAAATATTGACAAGAGACTGACACCACGAGACATTTGGATAAATTGCACGGCGCTCTTGTTCGCAGCCATATCTCTGATTATATCAATCCTCAATTTCAAGGTTCAAGGTCTGTTGGCTGCCCACCATGTGCCAACCTGCGCCTCCTGGCTTCTGCAGGGAGAGCAGCCATGCTCGAGATGTCGCCTCATCTCAATGTATGCGGCGCTCTATTAGGCAGAATGGCCGCAGCAGAGTGGTTTAAAGACGACAGTGAGACATTAGACACACTGTCATTATGTGTTAAAGTCTGTGAGGGCGACTGCTCCGGAGGGGCCGCGTGGTGTTCAGTGTCCTGAAGTCAGGGGGTATTTTCAGGGAACTGTTGTATTATTTAGTTCTTAAGGTCGGGTTGTTCCATAGTTTGTGTAGATGCTTTTCCACCAGGAACAATGATGTGTTTACACCATAGAAAATCATTAGATTCTTACATGGACAGATCCTCGTGAGGTTCAGTGATGGTGCAGTTGCATGAAACTTTAATGATATTTTCTTTCTCTATAAAAACACAGGTGCATGTTAATTGAAAAAGAATAATACAAAAAATCAGGCTCAGAATAATATGATGGACTGGTTTTCACTTAATGCATATTCTTCAAAAGGCTCATACAACAGCTGATCAGAACTTATTAATTTTGTTATTTATTTAATTATTTATTCATTAACCACCAGGATCTCAATGCTGATAATAGACAGTTTTTAAAAATGTCTGAAAAAAACATATTGTTTACATGTAGCTCTTACATCGTAAGAGTTACAATGAACTGGCACCAGTCGGATGTGATGTTACATCAGAATCTAAATCTCTCTTTGTGATGGTCAAATACGTTTAAATACTTGGAATGTGATAAAAATGTATTGAAAAAATACACAATTTCAAGAAAATTGTACTTTACTAATACACTAAACATTTTTGTTCTTAGCTCTTCAGGACCGACTGTGATACGTTGCCTCAGAATTCTCAGTTTTCCTAACTTTCTCACTGTGCTTCATACAGCCACGGGCTGCATCAGTGGAGTCTTCATCACACACACACACCCATACACACACACACACTTACAATACAAACAGCTTGAGCGTAGTTTTGATGTCAGCAATTTGAATGGAGACCTGTGAACCTGTGACCTCATTATGCCAAACTGAGACGGGCGACTCGCCCTTCGTCTGGTGCCTTTGACTCGGACTCTCCTCTACCTCTCTCTCTCTCTCTGTGCTTCACACAGCCGCGGGCTGCATCAGTGGAGTCTTCATCACACACACACACCCATACACACACACACACACTTACAATACAAACAGCTTGAGCTTAGTTTTGATGTCAGCAATGTGAATGGAGACCTGTGAACCTGTGACCTCATTATGCCAAACCGAGACGGGCGACTCGTCCTTCGTCTGGTGCCTTTGACTCCTACTCTCCTCTCCCTCTCTCTCTCTCTCTCTCTCTCTCCCTCTCTCTCTCTCTAACAAGATGCCTGCTAACGTTAATAAGTCAGGGCCTGTATCTGGCGGGTTAGCATTGTCTCTTGTTTATGTTCAGACTCAGACACTAGCCTTCTCTCTCTCTCTAGGTTTTTTTTATTTTTTTATTTTTCAGATTAGGGATTTGATCTTTCAGGTCAACTACAGTAGTCAACCTAAGTGTGAGCAGGTCCAGGTGTACCTTGCCTTTCACCCTGTATCAGCAGGGACTGGTTTCAAACCCCCAACCTTATGACCCTGAACTAGACGGAGACTGAAAGACTGAAGATGAACGACAGGAATAATAATGAGAAAATGAGTCTGAAAAAAAAAACGTTTTTAAACTTTTCTTTATCTCGTCTGGTTTGTTCCTGTATTTTTTCTCCCACGGTGCTTTAAAAATTGCTTCACATATATATATATATTTTTTGTCCCATTAAGATCTGTAGTAGATTTGTGTCTGTAAATATGGGCTATATGTGTGTGTGTGTGTGTGTGTGTGTGTGTGTGCGTGTGTGTGTGGCCTCTGGAGAGCCAGAGACCGAGGAGTGAGGGAAATGAAAGTGGAGGGATGATAGCAGAGGGGCGCCCTCAGAGAGCCACAGATCATTGATGGGACTCTCTGGAGTGGAGAACAAACAAACTTTAAATCAGAAAGGATGAGCGGGGTCGTAGCCTGCAGAAATGGAACGTTTCGGCGCTCGGTGTATGTGTGCTCGCACCGTGCTGCCTGCCCGGCCTGTAAGGCTCATTTGGCTGAGCATGAAAAGTTTTTGTATTTTGTCACGTACATGAATGGAACGTGGTCGTTCACTGTACACTGAAACCAGTGTAATTTGAAGCCGGTAAAGAGGTTTATTGAAGAGTGCAGTGTCACCAGCAGGGGCTGCTGTGGAATTGTGAGTTCAAAGATGAGCTCTCTGGACTCTCTGTAGTAGGTGTTGATTAACAGTCTCTGATTTATGTTATGAGATACAAAAGTATGATGGAGTTGAAGGTAAATATTACTGTAATTTTCTGTATTAATGACATTAGAAAAGAGGTGTATACCATGCATACCATTCATGCCATTTTAAAACATCATGTTTAAAAAGAGAAAAAAAGCAGATCTTATAAAGATGGCTGATATTTATGTTTCTATAATAATACTAATAAATTATAAATAATCACAAAAGTCAAACTAGTTTACACTCATTTTACACTGTTTTTAAAATAGTAATCTAATCTAACCAAATGGTAAAATGTAATACAAAAACTTCCTATGAAAACACATTTCAAAGCTGTCGACCATTTCACATTTCATTATATGTATTAATGATGTGTAAATAATGACAAAAAAAAAAACACTGAGAGAAAAGAGTGAACTGTGTCTTTAACTTCCTCTTCCTGCTCCACATTTACTACAAATCACAGGAGTCATATTTTACATTACTGCCTGTGTTTTTGTCTCCCTTCCAGTCTCATATCAGGTGAAGCAGGGGACGTGTGAAGTGGTGGCCGTCCATCGCTGCTGTAATAAGAACAAGATTGAGGAGCGCTCTCAAACTGTCAAGTGTTCCTGTTTCCCGGGGCAGGTCGCTGGAACCACTAGAGCCAGACCTTCATGTGTGGAAGGTAAATGTACAACAAGTCTGAGGTCTGCACTGATGAATGGTACATTATACAAACACAAATCTATATATATATATATACATATATATATATATATATTATCCAAACCTTTTATTTCTTGGTTTACCCATTAAGTCAAAGAGAAATATTGTAAATAGTCCTACTGCGTTGGAGGGTCTTTTCATTCTTCTCTGTCTTTTCTGTCTTTTCTGGCCTGTTGTATTTGGAACATGGCTAGAATTTAAAATCAGGCTTTATTTTTGTGCACAGTGTTGACGTACACATTATGGTTCAGATTCCAGATTGGAATCTAAAAATGTACTTCCTTATTTGACTTGGGTAAATGATCCATTCCTTGTTGTTGTTGTTGGTGATAAAACAGCCAATAATAAAAAAGTCAGGTATTTTCATGTCTTTCTATTAATAATGACACACAGTAAAGACAGGCAGCAGGCATCAGAGGAGGAGGAAATTGACAGATTACTACAACAAAGAGAGAACTATCAGTCAACTCTTCTGACTCGTCAATATGAGAATCAGTCAACTCTTCTGACTCGTCAATACAGTCGTATCCATGAAACAAATAATGTCTAAAATCAGGTGCCCCTTCATCAGGGGAATCAAAATAATAATAAAAGGTGTCAGGTTAAAGAATCAAGAATATATGTTAAGAATCTGACAGCTAAGGTGAACTGCACTGTGTGACAAACAAACTGTGTCAGAACCCACAATCAAAACACAGTCGTGGAACATATTACCGTTCCCTGTTTCTCTGTAATTGTCCCATTAAACTGATATTTACTGCAGCTGCTGTGGTCTGGAGACAGAGAGGAAATGTAGACTGTCATTTAAAAGGAAAGAAGATTTAACTTCATATCCTGATGGTGATGTTGGCTGTGTTTTCATCTAATAACGTTTGGACACACTCAGGCGTCAGCAGGCTTGTTAGAATACATTGAATTTATTTATTTTTTCACAGAGTTTGTGTGAATGACTTTGAATACTTTTTGAGTTTGTATTACTGCGATCTACGTATATCTGCTGGGATATATAAAAAATAAGGGTCAGGTGACATATATATATATATAGTACAGTTCCATAGCACATTTTTATTAATTGTTTTTGTGCTGCAGTTACTGTCATACACTTTCTCCTTTGCGTTAACTAATATACTTATAACGTACGTATATATATATTTTATTTTTTTTGCGAAAAAATAATCACTCCACTGAATTGGATAAATACACCTCTTCAAATAACAAGCAAATCTCATCCACTGTGTTACTGCTGCTGTTCCTCTACATGACCAGTAGACGGTGCCTTCCCCATTCAAATGACTGTCGGTGGTAGAGACGCCACTGGTTTTTTTCAACACTTGTTTTCAACCAAAATAAAAATGTGGATTCGTTGCTGGGGTTTTTAGATGAGTTCCTGCGCGGGGACAATCACCTGGTAATGATAAAATCACAGAACCAGAGCTGAAATGATTGGCTTTTATAATGAATGTGAGGATAAATAAGGAATCATGTGAGCGTTTGCCAACCTCTCAGAAAGACAAGTGTTCCAGCACTGTGTCGTCGTTGTTCAGTCAAGCACTAATAATAATCTGTTTATAGAAGGGAGTGACAGCGACAACAAACTGTGAGGCTGATCGTTATTTATGCTCCAACTTCTTTTGGAGCTGTTCATTTCTCTGAGCCACACACACACACACACACACATACGGTGCTCCGACACCTCTCACCTTTCGTACCCATCGCTCGGCTGTTCCGTCTCATGACTCATATATTTGACCCTCGAGTTCATCCTTACAAAGAGATCCCACCTGACGTCCAACACTGATTTTCTCTCATAAATATGTTCTTGGACACACACACACACACACACACACACACACACACACACACACACACCTCACCTTTGAGCCCCCGTCTCAATGGCCCGACCTCTGAAAGAAATGCTACAGTGTAAATGGAGTTCCATTATTGATGCGGGCTGAAAGGGGAGTAAATGGCAGCAGCAGCCATTACTGCCTGCTTCATGGGGCCCATTACTGTGAGACTAACTTTTTCAACTGAACTCCATTTATCACAATATTTTCCTCCATTTTTCTATTCATTAATCATTCCGGCGACTCCTTCTTTCCCCCATTAGTTCCTCTCTTTCATTATTCTTTCTATATAAGTTAGAATCATGCTTTTTGTAAAAAACAAAACATATACAGTTTCAGTATTTAAATTGACACTGCTCAATAATAAAGAGAATAAGGAAGTCGAGTTTGTCCGACACACGGTAGGTCGGGTCGCCTGACAAACAAAGAGGTAAATCTGGGCAGAGATTCGGTTTCAGGTCCTAAAATACTCACTAACATACGCCCATATATACAGTCCATCCCTGGAGTGAACGTGAACTACTTGTCATTGTGACACAGCTCACCACTCCACACCACACACCGCTCTCTGACCTCTGCTTTTAACCCATCACCACAGTGACCAGTGGGCAGCAGTGAGTGGAGACGGTGCCTCGCTCAGAGCACCTCCGTGGTAACTTGGCAGCTGGTGGACTCGAACCTGAAACCTTCCATGGTGTCTTAGTGGTTGAGGAAGCGGACTTGGGTCTGAAAGGGTTAAAAACAGAGGCTCAAATTCCGTTGTATTCGTGTTACAATGACAATAAATTTAAAACCACTAAGCCACCATTGCCACCAACCCGCCTTACCTGTGTGAGTAGGCAAAGCAAAACAAGAACAAAATGATTTTGTTCTAAGATTCCACATATAAATGGACACCTGTAAATATGAGATATGAGACTAAAAGACACCTGGAAACCATATGCCACCCACACAGATCAAGTCCACTCCAGATTAGACACCAGATGTGGGCCTTTAAGAACATCTGTTCATTTCTCTGTAAATTCTCAGTTTTTAAGAGAAATGTTCCAGTTCCACACCTCAGCCCTGGACGTCAGCGGTCCACACGACTGTAGGTTTATCTGATGTACTTCCTGTTGTACTCAGAGCCTTCAGGTAAGGATAGAAGTGAAATTCTAGTTCTTCTCTCATGCTCTCCTAATACTACCAGGGTGTGTGAGGTATTTTGGGGTACTGCAGAGTCCCAGGTTCAGTATTCGCTGGGCTGAGTTAAAACAAATACGTCTGTGTTTGTTTGGCTTCACGCAGTGTAGTCTGGATGAATAAACTTTTGTTCTGCTTCCATTCTGCCAAACGTGGTGAGTCTCACAGGCCTCGGTGGGAAAGTGCAGGTTGATGTAGTTTGTGTTTGAGTTTTTCTTCCCTGGGGAACCAGTGTAATGCTAGGAAAACAGAAATATCCTGGAGTACGAGGTGAAAAGAAGGAGAGAAAAATTAACCTTTTTTTTGTACATTTACTTCTCAGGAACATTTTAATAATGTATGGTTTTATAAAGCCGGGATAATGGAGTCACCGTGCGTGTTGTGGCTGCAGTGTAATTATACCTTTCAAATATAGTCCATTTGTTTGAAATAACAGGTTGAGATAAATATAGTGGAGAGCAAAAATATGCTGATGGGAGAATGGACTTTTACATTCTGCAGAGCTCCAGTCAGCAACACAACAAGGTTGGAACTCAAAATCATACTTTTTATATTAGCCTAATGCAGCATTTTTAAATTCAACTAAAGGACTAGAGCTAAAGTATTAATATTTAGGACATTTTCTTCTACTTCTCACTGTTTCTGGACCAGCTTTTAAATCTATCCTGGCTTGTATGAATTTCAATTTTACGTTAATTTACAATCAAATTTTAAACTCTCTCTCTCTCTCTCTTTCTCTCTCTACATATATGTGTATATATACATGTAGGTTTTGTTGTTTGTACTTGACTTTCAAGTTACTTTAAATAATTATTAATATAATAATGATATAAACATTTAATAATAACAAAACAATATTAAAATAAATAATAATATATTTTTGTTTATTGGCTTTAGTCAAGGTTTGTTTCTAGTTAACTTTTAGTAAACTTTTTTTTTCAACCTTTTTTCAGCAGTTTTTAGGAACTTGAATGTATTTCTGCAGTTTCTGAGGCAACATTTTCTGTGTCCTCATAATAATGTCTAACAAATCTCCCTGACATGTTTTACATGGGTGTTTCTGTATGCAGTACATCACTGGGTCGAACCGCAGTGCCACAAACCACAGATGAGTGGCACGGGGCTGTGGGCTGTGGGCTGTGGGCTGTGGGCTGTGGGCTGTGGGCTGTGGGCTGTGGGCTGGGGTCAGAGACCCACATCAACCTTCTGTTGTTTACTGGAATATCTGCTCCATTATATCAGTGCATGTGTTCGTCTGTGTGTGTGTGTGTGTGTGTGTGTGTGTGCAGCTGTTCATCACACATAATCAGCTTTTCTGCACACAACACTTTTCATTCTTTGATATTGGCGTGTATTCGTGTGTGTGTGTGTGTGTGTGTGTGTGAGCCCGGCACACAGACACAGTGTTAGTAAATCACACCAGGACGGATGTCTTCCTGTGATTACTTCTGCATTTCAAGATCACTGAGAGGAACAGTCACAACGCCTGAGGGTGTTTGTTCAATGCCCCTTAACTTCAGCAGTGTGTGTGTGGCTGTGTGTGTGTGGCTGTGTGTATGTGTTTATGTGTCAATCTGGGAGGAAGGCACAGCTCTTTAAGACCAGGCTAAACAGAGAACACACACACACACACACAGGTTTGTGTGTGCTAACCTCTACATGCTTCTTTATGTAACGTTTTCTGTATTTAATAAAGATTTTACAGAACTTCACAGGTTTGCTAACCTCTACATGCTTCTTTCTGTAACGTTTACTGTATTTAATAAAGATTTTACAGAACTGAAAAAAAAAATCCTATGATTAAAAACATCCTTTAAATATGTGAACTTTCCAGAACATTCTTATGATGGGAGGTGGGGGAGGGGCTTGGGGTGAGGGACTTTAATGACCAGCTATTATACATAAAATATGACCTTTGCTAGAACCTGACATTAAAATGTCCATCTTGGCTTCTGTAGCGGAGGACACTCCTGTGACCCATGATCCTGCCCCCCCCCCCCCCCCCCCCCACGCTTCACTTCTCTAGGTCATATTCACACTTTTATTTGGACATAGTCACCGCTGTCCCCATTCTCTTCTCTTCTCTTCCCGATGACTGTTTCCATGTCCAGTCTTTGTATCTCTAGTGCTTTCGTGTATTTGTACGTCTTTGTCCGGAGATCTCCTCCTGACTGTGCTTCTCAGACTGAGACAGCGCTCTGTGAACCTTCGCTCTTTCCTTCAATGTCAGTAAATCCCACTAATTCAACCCCAACTTTATTTTGGGTTCATTAGAGTCTCTTAAATTGATGGCAGAACCAAGGAAGCCTGGATGGAGTAGTTGGAACAAAAGGTACTGAAGTCAAGTATTGGTTTAGGACGGATGTACACACTAATGGAACCACTTTTATATATTCATATATAATACTTGAATTGAATTGTTTATCTTATATTATAAAATTATATATTTTAGTTGTATTGTGGCATTTTCACAGGGCTGTGAACCGACTTTTTTATTCTCTCCCACCTGAGAGATCTTCCCATATTTTTGCTGTGTCGCACACAAACATTCACTGGTTTGGTTTGGAAGGATCAAAGGTTAATCTTTTTTTTCTCGTCTATTATTAATATAAAGTCTAGGTTCAGATGCTGCTGCTGATGTCGCCGCTCTCTTTCACTTTCCACGTCGTTTCACACAGTTATTTATGTGGAGCAGGTGCTTTTGGCTGTGAGTCTTTTTATTGTGTTTACTTTTGGTGACAAATGTGTCAAATGACTGTAGGATTTGAATTTTTTCTACAAAAAATGACATTATACTCTCAGGTGTTAATTGGCCACTGACATGGAGGTGCATCATCACAACATGATAATTGAACTCACTTTCTCCAGGTGTCTAAATTATTCAGTGCCTGTTTTGTTATTCTGAGACTGTTGTTTTTAAAGAAGAAAAAAAGACAAAACAACTAAAAGAAAGAGTTGCAATTTCAACTTTCTCCACTTGATGTCACAAACATTACAACGACGAACAGACGCTGGGGCGGAAAGGAGTTGAGCAGAAACCTTGTTGCGGTGGGAGACTGGCCGTGAGGGGGGGTGGGGGGTCTCATGCAGAAATACTTCATACTCACGTAAACAAACAAAAAGGGAAAAGCTGCAGCCACGACTGGCATGACAGGGAGTGACATTTATGCGCCGTGTTGTGTTGGTTTGACGTGTTGTGATCAGCAGGAGGAGAGACAGAGCTGCAGGCAGCCTCGGAGCAGGAAACCACGACAGACCTCATTTAGAGCAGCACAGAGACCTGGCTGGAGCCCAGGGAATCACATGGCCCCCAGGTCCCCCGTGTTGCCCTAATCACTTGCACCTTAAGCAAAGCACCGTCTAGACACTTGCCCTCATCTGATACTGCACGGAAAAGTAAAGAGCAAACTTAAAACGGAAGTCATTTTCAGGGTTGTAATGAGCTGATAGTAGTTGTGATGAAACTCATCCCTGGGATGTTAACGTGTTCGTTCATTAGCATATGCACCTTAATGAGACTGATGCAACTAGAGCGAAGCGTGTGGTTCCTCGTGTGTGTTTTATATGTGTACCTGCAGTTAACGCATCCTTTTTACATTTTAACTGCCTTTTAAAACGTTCACGTGGCAAGTAGTGTTGACAATGGTGTGTTGGTTGATCAATGAGAAATATATGGAATTGATAATGAAATGTTTTTGCTAGGTGTGTTTTACGTTTTAGTTACTTACAGGTAACTAGTAGCAACTTGTATTTACCATAAGTAAATACTTGGTTTTTCAATCCCAAAAGAAACTTTTGTAATTTACTTTACAGGTAAAAATCATATTCAAGGATTTCCTGTAAAAAAATATTTAAAATGCACAGAAAGTATTGTTGTTGATTTGGTTCTTTACTCATCAACATCATGGTGGATAAATGGCTGTAAAACGTCCACTCGGTCGGTGGTTTCTGTGGAAAACCCACTGGTCTCCTGGGGGGGGGGCGCAACAAGGAGGAATTTTAGGTTTTTTTATTCTTTAATGAAAATAACCACTTTGTCAGAATCACAGAGAAAGTGAAGTTAATTGTGGCAACGTTAGAGTCTGGATAACACTCCTTTAAGGGAGCCACTGTTTGGGAACCAATGCAAAACTTTAGTGAGACCAAACCCAACATACTGACAAACATGTTCCTTAAACAATGTGTCAGAGTTGATTGGCAGGTTTTCTATGTACTTTTAAGTTATTTAATTTTTAATTTTTATATTTTTTTACACAGCTGTAGTCAAATCAAAGCACTGAACTGACAGCAGTTTTAAATGTATTTTATTTTAGGCTGCATTTAAAAAAACATCTAATCAGCAGCTGTACTCAGAGATGTTATGGTGAAATACGCCCTCAGAGGTGAAAATCTCACACAGTAAGTGCTTCTCTAATCTAGTTTATCATTGACCTGTCGGGACCTTTCTGTGAGATCACGGACAGGATGAGTGGTCAGTGATGTGGCCACTGCTCTTTTTCTGACATGACAAACAGATGCTTCTGTGCCATACCGGCCCTGAGCGGCCTGCCCTGCTAGTAAAACACAAGATAAGCTGCAAGAATGCTAATTTCATAATAGCGCTCATAGGCCATGACCATTAGCTCTAAATAACACTCTACCAGTGCAAGGCGTCATTGTCGAATGCATAATGGCCACATTAATGAGCATTACACAGCCATTGGTTTTTAGAACCGCTTACCGCCACTGAGTCATGCATCATAACAGTGCGTACAACATTATGTCTTGTAATAGCTGTGAGAGCTTTTCCCCTTTGGAGGTGACTTGGCAATTTGGAATTGGCTTCTGGCTACTTACTTCATGTTTTTCCGGTACTTTAACCCATTTTTTTAAATCAAGTTTAATACCTTAACTATTATCCTGCTGTCACAGCCAATGTCTCAGACAATGCTTCAGAGTATTTACCAAAGTAAAAAGCCAAATTCACATCCCATATTACACCTTTACTTCTGTTATTAAACAAATACATCCCCGGGGACGTCTTTATCCGTCTCTGTGTCCATATCCAATAATGGATAAAGGTGTAATGAGTGTGGAGAGCGGTTTTGGAGTTTTCTCTCAGTGGAGACCTGTGGTCAGCTAATCTGCTAGATTTGAGTTTCGGCAGCTCTGGGTTTACCATCAGATTACAAATGAATTTCTGAAGCTTTAGGTGTGTAGTTTTCTACAGCACTATATATGTTTTATCCCATCACACGCTAAATGGATGAGTCATTTGTTTCAAAATTGGCTTTTATACTTGGACATTTTACAGTAAATCACAAACAATGTTTTTTTTTCTCTAGATGCAAAAAATAATTATTTCTCTACTGCAGCAATTCTTTTCATCATTTCATACTCAAGGAAAAATGAATAGTGTCACAGGAGTTCAGTCTCAAGCCGTACCCCCTAACCCCCCCTTTTTAGTCCCATGAGAGACAGAGAAAATGAAAATAAAAAAAGAAAGTGGTTTTATTGAAGGTAAAGGAAGCATCTCATCTGCAAACACACAAATATGATACACATTTACCCCGACACAGTGTTGGTAATACAGTGTCTGGTCACAATCTGTGCTGCGGCAGTGCTGCGTATCTGATTGGTTATAAAGTATTTCTAATAGTTTCATTTCTGTTGAGTTTTGTAAAAACAAACAACCAAACAAACCATCAACAACAACAACAAAAAAAAAACCCACCATCAACAGCTGGATAATAAAGTCTGAGGGCAACCAACATCGCTTCTGAAAAGAGCTGTCCATGGTGCTGATCCTATAGCCTCCCAGCAGTTTACAGCAGATCAGCACCACGGACAGCGCTCTTGCATTACTGCTGAAGAAAATGTTGTATTTCTGTTAATTGTCGTTTCCACTCATTGACTCTTCTTCATTTTCTGCTCCAGCCTCCATTGTAGCTCAGAAGTGGTGGTGCCACATGCAGCCGTGTATGGATGGTGAGGAGTGTAAGGTCCTTCCTGACCTCACGGGCTGGTCCTGCAGCACTGGCAATAAAGTCAAAACCACCAAGGTGAGAAAGATGGTCGTCAGTTTCTGTCTCTCTGTTCAGACTTGACTTGCTGTATTCCAGACTCTTTCCTGCTAGTGGACAATGGGCACAAGTCAAATCTGTAGGTGTATTTGTAAAGCACACCAACACAAACAGATTACTATTTCACCAATAAATGTAGTTAGAATTCTCGTTCATGACACGGTACAATTCCATGCCTTTCAGTCAGACGACCTCTACTGCTGTTTAAACACTGGTAAGGACTCTGGTAGACAAGAAAGAACTGGTGATTAGAGATAAATAAATGTTGCCTAGAAAATGAGAGCAATCTGAGAAACCATTTCAAAGTTGGATGAATATTACATAAGGAAGCACGGAGTTATAATAAAGACTCAGGCCCCCAGTGTGAGCACAACCTTTTAATCTGCCGTAGCTGCTTCTATTTAGACCAGAGTGCAGCAAAGCAAGAGATGGAACAAGGGAACACCTCGGTGCATTCTGCGTTGCAACACAACCGCGCCGCGATCCCGTGTAAACTGACGCCATTCAGATGAAATGTATTGATTTTAACGAGGGTCCTTCATGGCCCTTCGTGAAGCAGTGAAGTGTGAAAGTTAATTTGCCAGACTGACATGTGGTACGTGCTTGTGTGTAAGGGAGAGTGCGAGTTTGTTTCAATTTGTGTGTGTTTGAGTTCGTTGCCAGCGCGTGTGTTGTGGGACAGAGCAGGTGCGGTTTATTTACAGGTGAAATATAAAAAGAGAAACAGTTGTGAGGGAAGCAGGGCAGCGCCATAAGAGTAATTGCTTGAGAGATGGCGTAACAGCACAACATCTGTCGCATTCATTAGAATGCATTATGGCTGGGGCCTCCGCAGAGGCTTCACAATTAAGAGTCATAATTAAATTGGTGGGTGAGGTAGACTGAGGAACATAGGCACTGCTGGGCTCATTCTCAGACACTAGAATTAATGACCCCGGTCCTAACACCAACGCTGGGACTGACAGGTGCAATTATCCTCATTCTGTTGCACGATGCCACTTGTCTTCTCTTCTTTTTCCTGTTCTCTCCTGTTTTGTTTCCTCGACTGGGTGTGACTAGTCGATCAGCTGAGAGAGAGAGAGAGAGAGAGAGAGATGGGGAACTAATGGCTGACTGCATCAGTGGACATTAATTGTGCATTTGTAAGGTGCTTTGGGACCAGCAAGTGGTTACTTGGAGACTAGGTGGCAGATGTCACAGAAGATAGTTGCAGAGAGACATTCATTCCCTGGCAACTGCTTGCACAGCTTTGCCACCGTTGCTTTCTCAGTATCTCTTTGTCTGTTCTCTCTCTCACTCTCTCTTTATGTCTGTCCTGCTTTAACGTTTCAATCACAATGATCTCTATCTGTCCAGCTTTTTTTCACTCCCACGCGGCGTAGGTTGGCTGCAGCAACATATAGATTGGCTGATTGAGGCATAAGAACACAGTTAAACAAGGAATTAGCGAGGTAGCACACGCACACCTTTACTCTTTTACATATATTTATACAAGTGGCATTTAGGTGTCATGTGACACCGCCGCCGTCGCAGGTACAGCTCAGGGGAAATCTGCTAAAGATGTCCATGTGTGTTAAACGCCACCGAATAAAAGCAGACAGCTGCAGTATGTGAGAGTCCCAGCAGTGACGACTGCAGTCCACTGAAGAACAATTCTAATGCTAATTCATGCAGTTTTTCAAGTGGGGATTCATCCAATATTTGCTGTGTAAAAGACCTCATTCACCAAACTGTGGTTGTGGCTTTGATTTTTTTGTACTTTCATAGTGAGATCCTGCACGTTAAAGACAGGCATTACAGACCAGGCTGGGAAAACATGCGTTCTCAATATATGAGCAAATCTTTTTTTATTGGAAATCAAGTTTTTTTTTATCCACGTGACTCTTCACTGTACTGTAATTTTACCTTCAAGTCATTTAAAATCAAGTCATAGTGTTTGAAATGCTGCCATTCACCATCAGAGGGGCAGGGAGAGAGAGAGAGAGAGAGAGAGAGAGAGAGTGTCAGAAATAAAACAAATGCAATCCAGTGACAAGGACAGGGAGCCAAAACTATGCAAAACACATTTGGTTTGAATGTTGTCCCTGGAGTTCTAACTGGCTTTGTCAAAAGGAAATGTATTTATTTTGCTGCTGTGAAGTGGAACACAGGGTCACTGAGTGTAATTACATGTCTGTCTCTGATCCGTGGTATTGTTCTTTTTTTAGGTCACGCGATAGCAAGAGAGTCGGCGAGCCACGAGGAAACCTGAACTCTTCATAAGGAAAGGATGGATGACATGCACGTATTTACTGTACCACGGGGGGAGATATCAAGCGATGGAACCGCTGTCGGGCTATCTATCACAAAACAATGGGATAAAAGGGATCATCACAGGCAACAAACTCTTGGCTACACGGAGCTACACACACAGCATATAACAATGTGCTGGCGGAGACTATAATCATGGAGATCCAGGGTACATTTGGACAAAAAATGTCCACTTTAACTTTATGTCCACTTTTAACTTTAAAAGATGGCGGATTTTTAGCATTTCAAAGTATATATTTCAACAAAGCATTTGTGGGTGAGTGAAAGACACGGACATAGAGCTGCTGGGAGCAGATCAGGCCCACTGTCACGTATGTAGCGCTTTTACTATAGGCCGATTCAGGAGAAATGAAACAGATAGCAGCCTGTTACTAGCAAATAGCAAATTAGTATCGAATTACTCTTGTGGGTCACGTTGCAAACATGAAAACTGTTTTGCAAGAGTCATTTTGCAGTGCTAATTAGGGAATTGCAGAGTAGGATCATAACAACATATTAAAAATTCATGTAAGATATTTGCACTAGTTGCAATCGTTCGGAGATGTTTTTGTTTTTCCTCGATATCTTCCATGTTGCGCTGTCGATGTCACATAAAGTTAAAAGTGAGCATTTTGTGAAATGGCTGACACTTTACTGATAGACGACAATATGTATACAGTACATGTACACACATATACAGTATGACATCATTTCTCAGTAGCTATGGGTTCAGATGTCTCAGAGTTGAACAGTCATTCTTGCCCAGGAACAATTTTCAAGCTGGGGCCTTCAGACCTATACAGTATATCTTCCATCTATTATCTGTGACATCAGTCTGTGACATTGCTTCTGTTAACTGTTTAAAGGAGACCCATAAAATGTTCCAACAAGGAAAGTGAGTCGCGTTATGATGTCATTTCAATTTACTGGAATTGTTTTCTTCTTTGTCCTCGTGGACGCGCAGGTTTTTAATCTTTGTGTGAAATGTGGAGATATAATTACCGTATGAAATGAGGGTCTTGTAAACAACCTTTATGAGGATTGTTGTGTTTTGTACACACGCATCGCATCGATTGCCCCTCGAAGTCTCCTCCACATCAATGCTTCAGTGAGATATAGTGGTATAATTGCCACAGATAATGGCAGTTCAGCCCTCTGCAGACATCTATGGCCTTTTCCCTACAGGCCTCCATCATTACTGCACTGAGTACAATAGCATCAAGCCCCGAACAGCCATCTCCAATGTCTCAATTATATCTGTCCACTCTACCTCTCACCCACTCCTTCCTTTTAAGTCTCTTGGCCTCAGTTTCTTTCACCATCTCTCTTTTCAGCTCCAAGAGATAGAACATTATTTAAATAGTTTTGAAACTCTGTCCTACATAGTCCATATAAAATTCTGACTTGGTTTTGTTGGTGAGCTGGCATTTGCACAAGTGCTTTATAGACCTTTTTTTTTTTTTTTCTTCAGGGACATATACACAAGTGTGAGTATTTCTCAAACTGTATCTTTCTGATATGTGAAAGTGATAGGGTCAGTGTGCCCAGGGGTTAACCCATTGGGGATGTGCTCCTCTGTGAACGGGAGCCTCTGCTTTCAGACACGCTGCTTTGTGGGCTATGATAAATCTGTGGACTATCTCTCCAGCTCCAGTGCTGAGCAGTGAGCCAGAGGGAGCTGGGGGGACAACAGGGCTACCAGTCACAGGCAGCTCCGCGCTCTCATTACCGAGAGCTCTGGATATCGCCGGGCTTCTCTCGGGACCACTGACATGGAATATTTTTAGGCCGACGGTGCAGTACTGCAGTAAGGCCAGTCACACCGCAATGGCCCCTTTCCTTGAGCAACGTCTCAGCAACATTTGCTAATTTAGTTTGCAGATGTGGTGACATTTTACAGATATTTAAACGCCAAACACAAAAAAGTATTTATTTAGTTGCATAAACGTTCTCTTAGAAGTGCAGCAAAGCATGAAGTTCGATCTGTTTAGTCCATTTAGACAACAATTATCTTACATAGTAATGTAAAAAAAGTTTAGTTGTGGGGATTAACTGGATTCAAGAAATGTGCTTCTGTACAGTTACCAGCACTAAAAGAGAAAATGTGCTTCAAAAATTTATTCTTTCCAAAGATGAGATAAAAATGTACATTCTTCCCTACATTCTTCCCTAAAGACGTTAAATATACATGAAGTAACACAAAATCTTTGTTTTTAACAAAAATAGTAAGCATTCTCAGAGGATATGGCTAGGCTAAGCTAATCATGCTATCAGTGTTCCCTTTGTCAGTTTTTAAAGCTGGTTTCGAACTTTCTTTTTTTAACCAATTCAAAAACTTTCCAAAACAGGAAAGGATATGTTGACCATTGGAGACAGTCTGCACATTGCTGCTCTCTGGTGTCTGGTGATTGACGCTACAACAAACTCCTTTCCAACTATTAGCAGGTTTTACCGCTGCTGCGTACCCCGGTGTTCTGATTCAGCGCTAATCTCAGAGTGACACTATTTAACGAGAGAACTTGCAGACTCTACCTACCCTCACATCGGCTGTGTGAAGCCGGCCAGAGAAACACAAACCTTTCACTTCTCCCTTTGCCAGTTTATGAGATGGAAGACGAGTCAGCCTCGAGGCATCTTGGAGGCATTTCATATTTGCATATTCACCTTTAATGAGACACAGACACCTAGTATGCAAATTCGAGAGACATCAGTGCTTTTGCACAGATCTGTGCTTCCTCTGCTCTCTGTTTGAGAATCCATGGCAGTCTTTTTAACCAGGACTTTGAAAATGATTAAAGAAACCTTTTAGGCCTGTTCCTTGTTTTTGGCTGGAAGCAGATTTATCTGTTGTTGGTCAGCAGGATGCTCACCTCACCAAATGTCCAAGAGAGACTAGTTGCTTTAATCGAGACGGGTAGGCAACTGGTAGGAAACTGAGAAGGGAGAGGGGGGACTAGAGACAGACAAGCAGCATAAAGGAGGAGAGAGCAGAATAATATTTTTATGAGTGAGGAAAGGAAACTCCAGTGAAAATAGAAGAAGCAACCGTAAAGAGATATGTGGAAAAAACAACAGTCTGCTCTGAAGAGGAGGAGTGTGTGAAGAGTATTTTAAGTATGTCTTTGTTTATGCACTAAACCTGGGTGGTTCCCTCGAGGCTACTTGCATCGTCAAGCCGAACGCCTCCGATGGTTCATCATTACATTGTCAGCAATTCACACAGTCGGTACCTCGAGAGTGAAAAAGAGGCAAAAAAGCTGATGAAACACCACTGTCGTGGCTTATGCATCTTCTTGTGTCAAGTCCAATTTGTGTTAGCCCGCAGCTATGTTCAGTAAATGTGGGTTCAGGATTCCTGTTTAGTGAGGATGGTAATTTTCAAATGAAGTGAATTTGTCAGAGGGAAGAGAGATTTGTGGCAACTGCAGCCGGCTGTTGCCTTTTGGGAAAACAGACTTCGACTGTCTGAGATTGACATTGATTTAATATAAGCCAGAGAGAGAGATTAACTGATGGAGATGATCTGATCAGTTTTATCAGTGCTGACTGACGCCCACACTGGTCTTGTCACTGTCACTTCCCAGGAAACAAATTAACAAAGGCCAAAATGTTGAAACGTCTCCTTTCATAGGACGAGACCATCTTTGTAGCTCAGTAACTGTGACACCTAATTACTTCAGTTTGATTAAAATCAACCTTGAATTCATCATTCAGACCACATTTTCATAATTAATCAGCTCAAAAGAGAACACAACACAGTCAGTGCCCTTCTGATACTGCATGCTCGTGTGGTCCTGTGGTTTTTACTGGCCGCCACCGCTGATTAGCCTTTTAGTTGATGGGGGATTAATTGCGTTGAAGCTTGAATTCTTTGCGCCACATGAATTATATTACACAAACACACGACAGCACAACAGTGCTCGTTAAAATTCAATTAAATAAACAGCAATAGTCAAAAGTGTCTTAAACCTTCCGTCTGCCAGAAGCCTGCGATGTGCTGATATTTATGGTGGAGTACACACGGGAATTCATTAACGCACCCCCTCCTCGTTGCTTCCTCTCACTGAGCCACTTCCTCCTCTGGCGTCAAACTCACTTATCTCTCTGAAGCAATTAGCCACAGGAGGCTCCACTGACCTGAGCCTTTGTTAGACCAACAGGTTACATTTGCATGGCTGAAGACAGGCAGTCTTGGCAATGCATGTGCCTGTGCCAATGTGAGCGGCGCTGATAAAGCCGAGTTCTGCTCTGTGCGTAAGCAGGTTTTCAGGTGTATGGAGGATCAACTCAAGGTCCACAGCCTCGAGGAGAGGATAGCTGGGCTCTCAGTCCTGTTTGTTGTATTTACTGACCTATTTTCTTTGATTTTTATATATCCATAGAGGGAGGTCTTGAAAGTTATTTTAGGGTTGTTGTTTTTTTGTAATACCCTTTGATTGAAGCAAAAACAGTGGGTTGTAAAAATGTTGTACTTTGACACACAAGCATATTAGACTAAAGTGAACTCAACATTAATTTATTTACTAAAGGTTACAAAACAGCCAAAAAAAGAAAAAAGAAAGAAAATGATTTACTACAAGATTTCCAAAATTTGGCAAAGAGACAAAAACTAAATTGCCAACATCGCAGCAAAGTGATAATGACAGTTATTGTACCGTAGGCTATTATTACATATGTGTATATTCATTGTGCCTGGAGAGAGAAGAAATCCAACGATGAATACAAAGAAACACTGATAATACATGCAGTACATCCAGGATATGTAACCCTAACCCATTATATCACATTAGATGTGATGCAAAATAACATGTTTAATTTTTCTCACTGAACCTTCAATGTCGCCACACATATGACAATGTGACATGCATTCAGAGTTTAATGTTAGTATGACCTCGGTGTGAGCTGAACATGGTAATTTACTGTTATTAGTGTTGCTTCTATTCAAAGTCTGCATACATTCAAAAAAAAAAAAGAAAAAAAAGATGCCCACTCACAATGTGTGCTGACAAGCCTTCTGACATATGAGAACCCAAACAGAGGAAATCTGCATCAAGATAATTGTACATATGATTATATTCAACTGTCAGATGCATGGCTTTGAATACGTGCCTAGAAAAATGGCTTCTATTTAAATGTTTCAGTCTTTACACCAATGACAACTGCAGCTAAGTGCGCATGCATTATTCATAATTAATTATCTAAATGTGCCTCTCCTTCCTTATTTACCAAATTAATGGTTTGTTTAGATGAGGAATGTCTTCTGTCTGTGACGCTGGGTGGAGAAGCAGCATCCCCATAAATTTCCCTGGCAGGTGAAGTATGGAGAGAGTGATGAGACAGAACAAAGGAGGATCAAATGCAAAGAAACCATTAGTTCCGCTGCTTGTGTGCTTTCTGCTCGTCTACTTAAAAGTCTCACAGACAGTCAGCCACAAGTTTTACAATGTTGTTTTTCTTGTAAAACTAAGGGAAAAATATTTTTCCTCTCTGCTGCATGACTTCTCGTACCACTGTTGCACTCCACTGTTGTAATGAAACAAATTGCTCAAGTTCAGCCTTAGGACCAACACAAAATGCATTATTGCAAAATGTACATTTTAATCTGATTAATATCCACAAATGATCGAACTCAACAATAGCTAAGTAAAATATAGCCCTAACTAACTAACTAACTAACTAACTAACTGACTGACTAACTAACTAACTAACTAACTGATTAACTGAATGACTGACTGACTAACTACAAACTTACTAAGTAATGCAATAGCCACAAGATAGCTGTAGTTGTTGGACAGGCAGTACCATGAGCTCAGATTCTAACTAGACTATTATTTTCACCAGTGTCCGTGCGCTGCCCTGGTGGTCCTGTGGAACAAGCTCATACTTAGTCAAATATTTCAGACCACGGTTGCACACCTCCTGGCACTGTGAGCCAAATGACATACCCACACCCAGACATCAGCACAGACAGCAGGCTCCACAGGCAGTGACGGGCAGCTCTCATTCTTTTCTACTCTACTGTTCACCCTCAGAGAGCTCAGGGCGATATATGCACCTCCTCTGCTTCTTCTGTGCCAGACTGACAGATGCCCTGTCAGCACTGATGTGAGTGGTATGGGATCTGGGGGGAGAGTGGGCTGTTGCAGGATGGATCTAAATCACAGTGTAATCAACGTGTGCGGTTGGAAGGTGATGGGGGGCT